TGGCAGCGTGTGCACAATGTATCTGTCACTCATGATGCCAGATGCAATGGAAACAGCTCATGCAATTCCTAAAAAGGCATGTATACTATATACAGTACATTAACCACGCTAAAACTGTGGCTGTTTGAAATAGCTAAAGGGCGTCAATGCAGTGTGTTAGTGTAGCACAAGAATACATTAGAAAAAAAATGTAAACTGCTTTTGTCTGCCCACTAAAAACAGCCCAAATGTCTTTGAAGGCAACTGTGCTTCCAATACTTAGATGTCACCTGCTAAATGACTCAACAAATGTCCCTTTCTCTGTACTAAAATGAATTTGATTTCAGTTTTATTCATATCACAACACAGTAGTTGCCTCAAGGTGCTTTTTAATGAAATGTAAAGACCCGCACCTATAGTAATACAAAGAAAACCCTCACAATCAAACAACCCCCTCTGAGCAAGCACTTGGTGACAGTGGGAAGGAAAAACTCTCTTTTAACAGGAAGAAACCTCTCGCAGAATCACGTTTTGAGAAGTGGCCACCAGCCAAGACCGGTTTGGAGTGAGGTGGGGAAACCAGGCCAAAAACAAACTAGAGCCAGAGATTAATAATGACTAATGAATTAGATGCAGAGTGGTGTAAAAACACAAAGTGATTGCCGTTCTTCAGGGTCGGTAGAGATCAGAGAGGTAGAGGTGGCGTCTGTCTCCAGAATCTAAACTGGGAGCTGGTTGTGCCTCCCTTTGTAAGTTTAAATATCCAGGGAACCACAAGAAAGCCAGCAGTTGGAGAGAAAAGTGCTCCACTGGGGTAAAATGAGGTCTTTCAGATAAGATGAGCCCTGACTACTCAAGGGGAAGGATTTTAAATTTCATTCTAGATTTGAACGTGAAGATATAAAAGAAGAATAACATTTCATACTTTTTTCTCACCTCTAAAACATTTTATTTCACTTTAAACTTAGCAACTGCTCAGTGAAGACAAAAACAACATCGTGCATTCTACTGGTTACATTCTTCTATGTTGGGCTGATATGCTTTGTTTTCCTGAGATACAGATAAGGCGTAGTGAAGAGATGTTCAGGGGGGAAAGCGCAATTCCTTCCAGCTTATCATTGCTCAATCAGCTCTAGCATGCTTCCAGAAATAGACGAGGAGAGGAGTTGGACTGAAAAGCCATTAACTGCTCCCCCACATCACCGTCTCGTGGAGGGGACCACAAGCTGGGCTGAACTCCACCTGTTTTTATGACAAGCAGGTGGGGGGTTCTGAGAGGTGAGCTTGGCACTGGGTTTGAATCAATAGCGGTGCTGGCAACATTTCACTGTCGCACTGCTTCCAGCACATAGCTCGTCTCTCTCTTTGTGTCTTTGTTATATTCTGATCCCAGTCTCACTCTCATTTGGATTTTCCCTTGGTTGGTAAAATATATTACACTCCCTCATGCCGTCTTTGGTCGGTCCTCCCTTCTGTTTTCCACCATCCTTGAGTTTAGCTTGTAGATCAGGTTAAGAACAACTAAATATCTGATGTTGCTTTACAAAACATAAATTTAAGTAAGCGAACTGAAGAGTTCGGATATAAAAGCCGTCGTCAAAAATCTCATACGAGCTTCAAATATCCCTAAATCCCACAGTGAACCTCTTCCAAAACAAGAGTTTTTGGCAAATAAAACTCGAAATGGCACTACCTTTTGTCGGCAAAAGCCAAAGCACCACTAATCAGAAGACACAACTCACATCATGTGACGTTCAACCAGGTCAGCTTGGATTTATCAGTTTGCTCAGACTGCTATTGTAATGCTGTTTGCCAGCTTCATGCCCGACTTCGTATCTTAACTTACTTGACGTGACAACAGGTTTTATAGTTACTGAGACACTGAAGTACATTGATCATAGTGTACTTATTATTTTTTTTATCAGTTTATCATTTATTTTTTGTGCTGTCACTTAGCAATGAACTATGATGTCATCTTGTGGATTTTGCTCAACAGCTTTTTCAGTGTTTCGCTTTAATTTCTGCTCTAATGATTTCCAGTGTTAACAGTTGCATCTTTTGCGGTAGAGGCATGGACTGCAAAAGAATATCCAATTTGTTAAAAGCCAATAAATTAATTTAAGTTACATTTACAGTTAACATAACATAGGAGCCTGATTAAAAGAAAAACAACCCTTATTAAAAACAAAACACGTCAGATGGACTTAGACTTTTCTGTCTGAGCTCTTCAATCAAATTAATCCTTTTACAACTTGTAATCAAATGATAAGTAAGAAGCAACAAATGTACATCATGAAAGTCTAGGAAGTATGTTTGTCTTAGAAGGAATGACTTCGACATTGATTTTTAGAATCAAATGTGAGAAATAATTTAATCTAGAGCTGTAACATCAGTCAGTTCAGTGGTCCATCTATTTACTGACAACGGCCAATCGTGTGCATATTGTATAAGAGATATAACTGTGCTTTAAAATGATAAACTGACTGCCTTTGTGCATGTCAGCATTCATGATATGATTATTAGTAATCATTAACAAACTAAACATCACTTGTGAGATTGTATTTATGATTGCATGTATTTGCAGAAATAGCAAACCTAATTTAAACAAGTAGCAGAAAATAACTGACTGGCATTAGCGCACCTTTCCCTTTCATTCCAGCTACTGGACATCTCTGATCTCAACCACACACATTACAGTGACTCATGCTTTGTATACCATGACAAATCCTGGATAAAGAGGGAGCTGATATCACTAACACCTCCTTTCTGCCTCTGTTGCAGGAGCTCCGACTCCCAGCCCCCACCCCAGTATTTTTGAGAATGACCCAACACTTGTGCACAAACACCGTGTCACGTACCAAGATAAACACACTCCCACCAGAGCCTGTATCAGCGGCCGAGATAAACCAACACACACGCTGAACTTTGCACTGCCTATCAAGCCCTGAGTGTATCAGGGGACATGCAGACAGACAAGCAATGATGAGGCAGCCCCAAAGGGACAAAGATATGTCAGCAGGGTCGGTGCTGGCATGATACAGTTCAGCAACCTCTCATCAGAACAAACAGCAGTGACACAGCTCTCAGTAATGGCAACCCAGGCACTGGTCCTTAAATCTGATGCATTTCTATAATTACATGTCCATCGTTGTAAATATTCTAATTTATGTGGGGGTATCATCCGATTGCCTTTCCTAGTTTGACATTACCAAACTAAATTCAAATTCAAAACTGCAAAATGAGCTGAGCATCCAAAGACTTGAGTTACCTTATATTTTTTAGTGGTTTCTGGGCTTCAGTCCACTTGTTCTGTCTTAATATGTCTATTTACATAAAATGTTTTTTCCCTGCACCAAAAGCACCCATTACCAGCCCACATCCTTGAAGACACTGAGTAAAACGTAAATAACGAACATATCTTTCAGTTTACACAGTTAAAGTGATGACTGATGTCCGCCTCATCACACTGATTATGCAGTTCTGCTTTTTTCCACTTGAACCACAAAATATGCCACATCATTTCTCTAATCTACAAGTGGGCATTTTCATCGTATCCAAGGTTCTTCTGCCTTCTATACACGCTGTGCAGAGTACACCTCAGAATCCAGTTGACTGGTTTATCCTGCCTCGACTTAAATGTGAGCCTAAGCTAAGAGGTTATCAGGGTAGACAGAGTCACACTCGCATTAAACGTGTGTGCAATGGCACTTGGCCCAAGTCTGCAGGGCGTGAAAAAAGAAAAAAGTGCCAAGAGCTAGCAGTGTTGCTTGTGTACTGGCATATCTGCGTTACAGGCAGAGGAAATAAAACAATGCGTTTTGAAATGTCATGTGTAAGAGCAACTTTGTTCCTGAAACTATGTTGTAGACACGAAACCTGCAATCTCTAACTTAAAAGCACTATTCATGCTCGCTAATGACACTGATACGCACCAGTGACTTCAGTGCACTCGCCTTCACCAACTGAACCACAAAGAGCAACAACAAAGTGAACCAGGGCAATTATTTTCAAGCTTTTTAATACAAACTTAATAAACCATCAGTCTCTCTTAACATGTAAGACACTGACTCTGAATACTTTGTTATACCGTTTGTTTTTATCAAGTATTGCACAATGTAGGTACAAAATTAATATACGATTACATTTTGTCCATGATATAGCAAAAATCTTTTAAACTCTTAACAGAAAATACAACTCTCATGTATTTTTTTTGAAAAAAAGAAAGAAAGAAAGAAAGCAAATATTCTTATATCCCACCACTACGGAATATTCTGTACACAATCTTTAGGATAGTCAATTTTTTTACATTTTTTTTTAAATGATAAATTCATTTTTTATTTCAATAAAAAAAGAAAACATAAAGTTGCTGCAGCCATCACAGATCACTGGAGTAGTAAAAAGATATAAATGCAATACCATGTCGTAGAAACAATAGATACTCTGATATTTTACAAACTCTGTACTAAATTAAATTATACAATTAGAAAAAGACCAGGAAATCCCACTTATTTATGCCAATCTCTTGAAAAAAACAAAACAAAAAAAACCAAAAAATAATTGGCGATGTCCAGTTATGTTTAAATACTGAAAAGAGGCCATGACTTGTGTTGTTTTTTTCTCTTTTGTATATATATATATATATATATATAATGATATATATATATATATATATATATATATATATATATATATATATATAAATAAAATATATATATATATTTATATTATATGTTTTTGTTTTTTTTTTTTGTTTTTTTGTTTTTTAAACAGTCACATAAAAAAAATATTTTGTGCTTGGTTGGCAAAAGAAATAACAATGATGCATGTTGAAGTTTAGGTAACCAAGCTTGGACATTTTGTACTACAAGCTTCATTAAGGAAAAGAAAAAGGTATAACTCAAGGGGGCAAAATAATTCACCCTCGGGCTCATGCTCTTAGACTCGTAACAAAGATCTTACAGGTGACAAGTCACTTTTTCCTTTTATACTTGACATTCTGTTCTTGTTTACTTTTTTTTTTAATTTTATTTATTTCTGTTTTGAAATGTGCATTTATGTTTGTTTCCCCCCCCATCACATTATCTCTGGTCGTTTCTGTATGAAGTAGTAGCTTAAGTAGTACCTTCACGTGTACTAGTTGGCCATAACTGGCTGGAATTGCTGGTTAGAATACTGCATGTTGCTCAAGCTGAAATTCAAGCCATCCATAAGCGACTTGTCATTAAGGCCACCGTAGGCCGCAAACATATCAAAGGCATTGCTGTACTGCAGCGGGCTGAGGCTGAGCGAGCTGTCGCTGGGGAAAAGAGCACTCTGGCTGCCCTGGCCCTGCAGGCTGGGGAACACAAATTCCTTGGCATTGGGGGAGAGTGCCGAGGGCTTCTGGTGCTGCTGCTGCGGCGCGCCGAGGCCTAACCCGTACAGAGAGTGCATGGAGGTGGAGATGGCTTTCTGTTTCAGGAGACTGTTCACATTCAGGCCCAGGTTGGTGGGAGAGGTACGTGCCACCTTGTTCCCAGCGCCACTGCCGCCATTGTTGCGTCCACTGCTCTTCATCTTAGTGGAGCCAAACTTGGTGGCAGCAAAGGTGGCTGTTGTGAAGGTTAAAGGCTGCGTGGAGCGGGGCATAAAGGTGGGGCTTACTGCTGCCGAGTGGCCAAAGGGTGGGGAGGGCGAGCTGGAACCCGGGGAGGCGCCATTCACAGGCTCATTGATGGGCATGAAGACCTGCGCGTCTGGATTGAAACTGTTCTTTATCTCTTTGTCCAAATCAAGTCCCACATTGCTACTTCCACTTTCGTTGCTGTCGTCGACGTACAACACTTTGACGGGCCCCTTCTCCCCAATCTGGTAGGATACCTCATAGGGGTCAATCCACACACTGAGGTCCTGGGGAAGGTTGTTGCGGACATCTTCAATGTCCAGCCCACTCTCTTTGGCTGCCTTCTCCACCACGGGGTCAACCTTCTCCCCAACGTGGATGCATCTGAATCCTGAACCTTTGTATGGCTTGTCCGGGTACCAGTGTCCTTCATATTTCTGCTTCAGCTGCCGCTCCAGCTCCTCGCCAAAAATGTTGACTCGCCGCCTGGGCAGCTTGTTATACAGGTATGAGATGATGAAGTTGAGGGCTACTTGGATTTCAAGCTGCATAGCTAACTGCTGAAGTTTACCCGATGCAACAAGATTATTTGTGTCTGACCTTGAACGTATCCACTGGGTCTGCTTTGTTTATCCGTGTTTGGCAGCACAGCTGCTCTCTCCAGTCGGGATGGCAAAAGTAACCAGAACTTGGATGAAACAGGTTGGGGAAAAAAATCAAAATCAGAAGTGCTGGTTTTGTGTAAGTGGTGTCCTTCCACAGGGTGTTATATTTTTTCCTGCAAGAATTAAAAGTGGGGGAGGGACAAAACACATGTATAAGTACATGAAAATATATTTGGAATGATCATGCAGTATGGCTACACAGCTAAAACGAAGGGAGGAGGGTGCTTTAATTATTAAGCATTTGTTTTTAAAGCAGGTATGTTGTACTGTGACCATTTGAGCTCATAAATATGTAGGCTGTAAGCCATAAAATGGCCAACCAAAGCAGGATCTTAAAGGTAAAATAAACCAGAAAAGAGGAATATACAGAATATATTCTAATAATATGAATATATTGATATAAATAAACAGAAGAGGCACTACAGCTGGGCTATACTGTTGTCAACCCTGCATCTAAATGTCAAGAAGTAGGCATCGTGCACATTAACCTCACACTAGGACTGAGAATCCTATTACATAATAGGCTTCTAGATATCCTCCTTACAGCAGGAGACAGGAAAACTACTGCGGGGTTACCGCATTTCATTATCCAAAAAGGGTAAGCTTGACTTAGTGACTGCTTTGTAGATAATACCTAATGGTGGATAAGTTGGCAAAGAAACGATCCGGTTGGATTTCAGGCTTATAACCGTGCTACTGGGTTGGTATGGTATGCATACGGCACAGATTAGTCGAAGCAGTGTCGCCGAACAACCTGTCTGCGCCCATGTTTTGCGATTTTTGCGAAAGGATTTAGCCATTAAACATTTACTGAAACGAAGGCTGGATGCAGGCAGCACAGAAATAGCCCTCTTCTACCGAGAAGAGCTAGACAGAGAGGGTCTATAGGGAGTCAGCCTGTAGAGGCTGCTGAAATGCCCCAGAGTGGATTATTTTATTTCTCAGAGGGGGAAGCTAGCCCACACTGGAAAAAAAACCCCCAAAAATCTGCAGTGTCTACACCTCACTAATAAAGATTGGTCGCAGTTGTAGCTACAGGTCTTGGCTGGTGTTACAGTAAGAAAGGCATAATATTGCAGAAACTGCAGCGCACAGGAACAGACTGTACTGACACTAGAAAAAGGCGATATAATAAAAAATAATAATAACAGGCTGCAGTGAAAATTCAACACCACATCGGACTCATTTCGAGTCTGTGGAGGTATCGCTATGTGCTTACATAAGAATAGAGAAAAAAAAGAGCACACACAGCCTATATACACCCCTCCCTAACTTCGTGAACTGACGCAGCAGATCAGCTTATAGTTAAGTATGAATAGAGCTACAGTACAACTAAGAGCAATAATAAAGACACCGACACACACATTAGCAGAAACAAGAGAGCTGGAGTACTTACTTTTTTTGTAAAAAATAAAGATTCTCAGTAGTTCTGAAGTACCGTTAGTTAGTGCAAATAGGAAAAAAAAAAGTATAAATACTTTCTTCACATATAATAAATTATCAGCGTTACAAAAAAGTCTTCCAGTACACGTAGATTTTTGGAGGATTGGCGTTTACGGTTTTTTTAAGGTTATTTTTCGGTTTTTTGTTTTTTAGCTCTCCTCTTTCAGCAGGCTTGCAGAGTAGCTCCCTCCTTTCTCGGGAGTTTCGCAACTTCGTCCTCTTCTGATACGGCGTCGCTCGTATTTATAGCTTTCCTCCGCCATGGGCACGAGGTAGGCGGTGATGCGGTTCCAGAGGTCAAAACAATGCAAGCGCCTGCGATTGGTCCGCGGCGGGAGTCCCGCCCTCTTCGTGACGCCAGAGGCGAGCACTGATTGGCTGATCGGCGCTGTCAAACTCGGACAAACGGTCCTGTGAGACGAGAGACGCCTGTGATGAGGAGTTTGCGTCAGAGATAACCTAGGTCTGTGCTGACAGCAAAAGGCAAAAGTCCTAATTAATGTTATTCACTAGCAGTATTATGTAAAGAGATCGAGTTGACTTGAAACAAACACAAAGGTGAAACTGTGGCACTTCCGGGAAGTAAATATGTTATAATAACCCACCCAGCAGGTTTTAATCGTCGCAATCAGATAATATTTAAGACTAACAGCTCTGTGCCATGTTGATACCAGAAAAAGGGGCCTTAAAATAATTTGCGCCTGCATTTCGTCACAGAATAGTCACAAAGACCCCCCCCCCCTTTTTTTTTTTTTTTTTTTTTTTTTTACCTGCCACGAAAAGCTGCAGGATCTGTGATAAATGTATAACGCCTGAGAGGAGATTCCCCACAGCGGAACAATACAGCTGGCAAGCAGTGTGGGTTGTGCTGCATGCTATCTAGAAAACACAAGCGCTGATTGGCCTAAAATGGGGCAGGAACCATACTGTGAATGGTGTACCCGTATCCAAGGTGCTGATGTAGGCTGCGCACGTCATCGCTCGGCTGAACGCACGCTGTTGCCCAATTTAAAGTGAACCGGCACACACACAGGTATCTGCTCAAGAAAGGAAGAGTCGCTGGGGCTTTAAAAGCCTTTAAAACCACAATAAGGAAAACGTGCTTTCTCCTCATGATTAATGGTGTTATGTGAAACGGAAATAAAGCCGTTATCCTGATTAATTTAGTTTGCTGACAACTTTGAGGTCGTATAGATAGATAGATAGGTCGCCTTATTTACCATGGCAGCAGTGCTTTTTATTAAAAAAAAAAAAAAAAAAGTCTGACAGAGTGGACATTCTTATTTTTCCCAAGCGGAGTCATGTGCTTGATGTGAGCTGTAAATGCAAGCAAACAGGGCTCCTGTGGAAAGTGCTTTAGGGAACAAGGCATGACAGATGAGGCAGGGGTGGCTGAAATAGAGGGGGGATTATACGATTTGACATTGCCCAGCAGATTCAGATTCACCATCTATCTTAAAGTGGAAGTGGGTGGGTGAGCGAGTGGACTGCCAGCCAGCAGCACTGTGTTTTGCAGCAAGCCTTGTGGGCTGTTTTCACTGTAAAGATCTCAGTGTCACATGTCCCCCAGAATCACTTCCATATAGCCATGCTGCTGGGGCTCCTTTTTATGGTATGGTGTTTATATTGTGTATGGCTCCTGTCCTTTTCCCCCACTAATGTGTACACAATTTGTGCCCTTGTGATGTTTGGAGTGGCAATAAAAGGCATCAGCTGACAGAGCAAGGTCAGCAGCTATAATCAGGCACGTTAAGACTGCTATATTGTCTTAGAGCGTAATCCTCTAATCATTGGAGTCCAGTGTATCTGCCACTCACTGCTGCTTCTGTCACATGAAGATTTCTAGTTCTCCTCTGAAAACAGTGTCCAGTCTAACTTTGTGCCACAGAAATGAGAATATAGGCAGTTACGTGAGTAATTTAGCAAATGCTGCAGCTCAGTTGCCTTGTTGTATGGAAATCCAGCTCATCAGGGCTTAAGCTGACCTTCCTGTGGAACTTTGCAACAAGAAAGGAGAAAAGGGTATTTTAAAGTTTACTAAGCCATTTCTCAGCAAACTGAAGGGCATCTTTTAAGTATTTACAACAAGGCCTTAACCTAACATTCCTCTAGCACCAGAAGACAACACGGTGTTGCCCATCCTTCACTGCTGTCCTTTAACAGAAAAACACAAGCCCCTGGTGTGAAGTGACTACAGACCATAATAATCCACTTCTGCTTTCCTCTGAATGGTTTGTTCAAAGTAATAAGCGATAAGAAATGGGAAAAAAGACAGCCCAATAATGTGCAATAATGTAAAAGGCATTATCCTCTTAGCAACGAGGAACTTAAGGGCTGTGATTAAATAACCATTTTCTTTGTGTTTATTTAAGGTCTACTTTTATAGTGCAGTGACACAAACAAACAGACACACAAGTGGAGGAGGATTTCTCACACACTGCTGCTTCCCTGTCTGCCTCCCCGCCTTCCTTTCCTTTTATCCCTCTTTCTATCTTTTTAAGGTAGATACAATATAATAATACAGAGAAAACAACAACAGTCAAACAACTGCCTATGAGCAAACACTTGGCAACAACGGGAAGGAAAAACTCCCTTTTAACAGGAAGAAACTGTTGGTAGAGCCAGGCTCAGTGAGGGGCAGCTATGTCTCTTATATGTCTGGTAAGATGATAGAACACAATAAGTACATCCACATTAAACAGGACAAGCTAAAGCTACACTTTTCATTCATTCGACATATTTAATTCACATAAATATAAATCTCACTGAGATCTGTTTCTGAGTGTTTACATCAGTGTTTCATGGCAGTATCAGCCAGTCTCTGTGGCAGCCTTTCAGCTGTGGCTGTCCATTAAACATCATGCATCAGTGGCTCGACTATGAGTCACGCTGTGTGCATACGCACTGAGGATTTACACGGCACGGTATGTGTAAATACAGAGGTTGTGTTATGAGTTGTCACGACATCGACGTAAACGCTTTTCTCTCCCGCACAGCCACCTTTAAAATCCACAGAGGCTGTTACATAATTCATCCAGGAGCGGACCGCTGGGACAACATCAATAGATCTATGTGCCATCTGCATAGAGTGGGGGGGGGTTAAAAAAAGCATCTTAATACAGCCAACTGTAAGCTCTGTAAAACGACAGAAAAAAGGAAATAAAAGATACATATTTGTCTGGACTGTTATGTATATATTTTATGGTTTTATAGCTGAAGTTTGCTGTCGCTTCTCTGTTTCTCTGTTTTCGTGCCGAGCTACTGCTTTACATTCATTTATTTTACTTTGACCTTGTAGCGCTGCTCAGAAAAAAGAACGTGCTTCAGCTTTAACTTGGACTAAATAGAAAACACACATTCACACACGCGCGCACGCACACACACACACACGCGCGCGCACACACACAAAAATGAGCAGGTCAGTACCTTCAGCTGAACCACCCCAGACTGATATTTTCTAGGAATGGTTCCTCGTGTGACGGCTTTTTAAAGCTAACTATCTTCACCCTGTATTTCTATTGATTTTGGCTGATTTACAAGGGGGAAAAGGGAAGGAGGAAGATAATCAATCAATGCGATAGCTCTGTGTCAACTTAACAGAACATGCATGCTGGGTCTCTTTGCACATAAATTCCCTCATATGATCAAGTGACACCCCGTTTGCCTCGTGGAGAATCAATTTAGTAATGAGACATGGATGGCTAATGGAAGATATGAAAAAAAAAGTGCAGAGGAAATTCTGATTCATTTATAAAGTAACAAGGTTCATCACTTTTTGTGGTAGATTATGTTGCTAGTTAATATATATTATTACTTTTCTGCACTCTTCTCTCTCACTAATCATCCATTTGGATGGCAACACAGTTGCTCACAGTGTGCACAGGATCTGAAAGGAGGGGTGGAAGGTCCCCTGTGTGGTCTTGTACATACTCCACATGAGTCAAACAGCAGGAAGTGGATGCGCTCCAAGTTGGCAATCTAAATAGTAAACAAATAGAGCTGGGTAGACGCTCTGCAGCTTGTTAGTTTAAAAAGAGAACAATGCGTTATCAATAATTTACAGTGGCTCAATGCCACAGCTTGGCAAAAAGTGCAAATGTGTAGCCGACAGGATGACAGACACAGCCTGTAGATCCTAAATTTGTAATATTTCTAAAATCAACGAATGATTTTACTGAGTTGTTAAATTCTCTGCACATGTTCTTCTTCAACGACAAGCCTGGATTAGATATAGGCACTATCTTCAGCCCACCATATATTTTTTATGATTCTGTTTGCTTTTCATAACAAGCATAAGTTATTCTAAACGTTCATCTTGTGACTGTTATTCTGTTAATGTTGTCACATCTTTTTTATGTTAACACCAGGGACCTTCCTGCATTCACAGTTCTAAAAGTGATAATGGGAAAATCTTTTCCTCGCCTCCCATCATTCTGCCTGTAATATTTTTATTACATTTTAATAGATCTAGTTTGGGATTCACTTTGGGAGATACTGCAGTGTGTCAGAGCACTCTTTAGTGTACCCCTGACTGGAGTTAATGTGCCTGCACAGTAAGCAGACTGTAAAAACAATGCATGAAAACTCACAAACCAGACTAACATCTACCCCCTATCTGCCTTTTGGTCTAAAAACTGTCTGGCATGTTTGGACTTTTCAGTCCTTCAGTTCGGACAGGGGCTCATTTGCATTGACATTATTATTATATCTGTGGCCCCATGTGTCACTGACCATCTCCAAATGTCCCTTCAGGAATGCGGTGGTAAAGCCTCTCCGAGTACGTTCGCACCTGTATATAGAGCTGTTATTTCCGATTGGGTTACTCAAGACGCATTTTAGTGCTCAGCGTGACTCTTGGGGTGTTGGGGAATAAATAGCGTCTAGGGTTAAAGGAGTGTGGAGGTGTGAGAGAGGAAAGAAAAGGGGAAATAGGGAGGTATCAAGGACAGCTGGGAGTAGGGATGGGTATCGTTTAGGTTTTATCCGATACCGGTGCCAAACTTTTGAAACGGTGCCGGTGCTTAAACGGTGCTCAAACCGGTGCTTAAAGAATGGAGAACACCAACTTTGTCCAAAAACCTCTCATGTTCAGCTGTTTTTTTTGTAAAAAGATAACAATGTTAGCCTTTTCTGCAGCTATAGGGCATATATGGTATCACTCTTGGCTGGAAGCAGTGCTTAAACAATGGAAAAAACACAAACTTTGTCCAAAAACCTCTCATGTATAACTGTTTTCCACT